TGGAGAAGCTCCAGTAACAATTTCTGGAATATTGGTGGACATCAGGGAGGAAGAATAGAACCTCATCTAGTCACAGCAAGGACACTGACAACAGAGAGAGCGAGAATAACACAATATCCAATTGTTATGACCCAGAAGACATGCTGTGTGTAAACGTAATGTTTCAGGTTATCAGTATGAAACATGTGATTCTTGATGGAATTCCAGAGAAAACAATGGTGGCTGGTGTAATGACTAGAAGACTAGTCATAGCATAATAAAGTAAAGGGATTTCACACTGTAAGTGGAAAGAGATCCCTGTGAAATGTTATCCCATCACGTGATGTCCTGTAGAAGTTGATAATTAGCAATATAATGTTGACTTGTCATGAGTGGTTCATGAGTGAGGAAATTTAAAACACGGGAGCTGGAAAGATGTTGAAGCCACAAGCCCAGCTCCTAGCCAGGTGAGAAACCCTTTATCGTATAGACCTGGGGTGCGTGATGAAGCGTGAAGCGTGCTGTGATAGAGCACTATAACAGGGGGGAGCACAAGGTTCCCTGTAAGAGAGAAAAATCCCAGGACTTCTGCAAAGAGCATAGTTAGCCTTGGCCAAATTGCAGATGGGGACCTGAATTATCACCACCTCTTCAAAAAGACGCCTTGAGACCAGAGGCTCGGACAAACCAGATGTTATGATATCAGTCAACCTGGAGGGACGGGACAAGCGTGCACGTCCCAAGATCATGAAGAGTCCACAGGGGTGGACAATCTGTGAGATGGAGGCTCAGATCGCAGGGATGTCTCCAGAGGGATTTTCTGGCAGGTGATGTTTAATCAGTTTCCTCCAGGAGTACGCTCCGAAAGAAAAATTCTCCCCCTGTAGGGCAAAGCCGAGCTTTGCCAAGCACACTAGAGAGGTGAGCGGCCATTTTAGAAATTTTTCACCTCAGCATATGAAAAAACTCTACCTCAAAAATAAAATTCGAATGTAAGATTGTGATTCTTACAGAAATAGCAGCGCTCCTCTTAAAATGAGAAGAATGATGGACCTTAGCCAAGCACAAAGCAGGGCAAGCGGCCATAAAAGATAGATAGATAGATAGATAGATAGATAGATAGATAGATAGATAGACAGACAGACAGACAGACAGACAGACAGACAGACAGATAGATAGATTCATATCTCTATATCTCTATCTAGCAATAAAAATGGCCTTAGAGGCTTTGGCAAGCACGCCAGAAAGGCAGGTGACATTAAAATAGTTTTCCTCTAGGAGTACTCCGAAAGAAAAATTCTCCCCATTTTGGGTATAAAGGAGCTTTGCCGAGTACACCAGAGAGGCGAGCGGCTATTTCAGAAAAAGATTTACATGAAAGAATACGATTGTTACAGAAATTGCTGCACTCCTCTTAAACTATGGACAACGATGTAAAATACCACCAAAACGCAGACTGATCCTGTCAAAAGTAAATTTTAAAGTGTGACAGGAAAATGAATCTCTGAACAGTTCCTCTAGATGTTGTTGCTGCAGCGGATAAAAGGAACTGAGGGCTTAGGT